GTAAGCTGACAGTGGCTTTCTCAACAATAACTAGTCTGATACAGTGTATTCAGTTTGGGGGTTTTATGTATTATTCGCAGCTTCCACAAAATGCTAATCAACTGTTTGTACCCATACAAATGCCATGTTGCATCTACTGATCCTGTTGGATCCAGTTAGAACTGACAACATATCTGTTCAAATGCCTGCCTAAGGTGTGGTTTTGGAAGCTATCTTCTGTCTAAATTCAACACAAGTCGTGGCTCCGGGTTTATGAGTTTGCCTGACCCAGCTGATGCTTTAAAAACATACATACAAACAAAAATCTTATGTTTTTAATTGAAGCTTATGTATTACTCTGTGTATTGGGAAGTATCATTGATGTTTGCATGTGCACTCACTACATAATAGGCCTAGTCTGTTAATTTTTCCATGATATGTTTTGCTGGCATGATCAAAGCATTCTAGTCTCATGACTGAACTGCCTATATATCTACAAAGCCTTTAGGACATCACAGAAAATCCACTACAGTGTGTGACTCTTACATTCTTTTTATAGGCTTACTGAACTGTGTAGCTTTTTATTTTTCCAACCTAGCTACTTTATCTAATAGCAAATTCTGTACGATTTAAGGTGTACTTAAATTAATGACAGTTTGCAACAAGATTGAGCCATTTGCATGACAGCTGATTTAACAAACTTTCTTATAAAGAAATCAGTTTTCAGAAAGCACGTTTTCTGTTTCTGTTTCTTTTATATTTCTATCATCTATGAGTATTGTGCCAGATTAATTATGTTTGTAGCCAATTTTTCTTCTTCGAGCGGTGTCCCGTGGGTGCTCCACTGTAGATATTGGGCTTGTCCCAGCGCTGCAGTTCAGAAAATATTTTAGCCATAGTCTGCCGGACCGCGCATGCACCAGTGCGGCTCGCGTCTTTTCGCGCCTTTCTTGTGCGCACGGTCCGGCGCCCGCCAGTTCCTCCTGATCGTCCCCGGCCGCGGACAGAGTGAACGTGCTCTCCTCAAAATCCTGTCAGGATAGAGAGAGAGAGACTTCTGTTACAAATCTTAGTTAGTTAGTTGTATATAGTATATTACTTAGTTAGTTCTTTGTTCATAGTGCAGTCCAAGAAAAAAAATTTCTTGTACATAATTAGTCAAAATGCCGGCCTCGCCCAGTTTCAAAAAATGTGAGACTTGCCGAGACGCAATGCCGGCATCCGATGGCCACTCCCATTGTATACGTTGTCTGCTGGCATCCGATGGCCACTCCCGTTGTATACGTTGTCTGGGAGAGGGCCACATACCTCAGAAATGCTCTAAGCTCACGGCCAGAGCGAGGCGGGACAGAGACATGCGGCTAAAAATGCTCTTATTCGATAAAGCCCTACAACCTCAGGGCTCTGATGAGACGACCGCAACATCTTCCAAAACCCTCACCAAAAAGGCGAAGAAGAGACCTTCCCTGTCTCCATCGCTACCCCCCTCACGAGCTAGCGCGGGATATCAAGGTTCCACTCAATACAGGATCTAATACAAGTGCTTCTTATCAGTCCCAGAGTACCTATACTCCTCTGCCTACAACTCATGGGGCATTTCTCATCCACAACATACATCGTCCAGTACGCAAGGTTACATTTTCGCTGCCTCCAGCATTGGATAGCGACTATCTACTCTCCAAACATTCACGACGTTCACAGGATGGTTCCAGTTCCTTCACACGTCAAGAAATCCCTAGCCTCGTGGACCATACCCAAAAATCTCATGTCTGGCACACCCTTCCACTGCCCTCAGCCAACAATGCAAATCACTATCAACCTTTTAGAACTAAAAGCAGTTCGCAACGCCTGTCAGAATTTTCTTCCACTTATTCAACACTGAGTCGTTCGTGTCCTCTCGGACAATATGGCTACAGTATAATACATAAACAGACAAGGGGGAGCTCAATCTCGGTTGCTCTGCGCTGAGGCAATACATTTGTGGAATTGGTGCAATCTCCACAACGTCTCCCTCATTGCCGACTACCTGCTGGGCCAATAGAACTGCACTGCCGATGCGCTGAGCAGGCACTTCTCCACGAACCACGAGTGGGAGCTACACCCCCAAATACTGTACAGAATATTCCATTGCTGGGGGTTTCCAGATATAGACCTTTTCGCTCTGTCTCGCAATACAAAATGTCCTCAGTATTGCTCGAGAGCTGGGATCGGACACAGATCCAAAGGCAATGCTTTCCTATGCAGCTGGTCTCACTACCTTTTATACGCATTTCCTCCCACACCTCTGATTCCCAGAGTGCTGGAGAAAATACGCTCAGACAGAGCCATGGTAATTCTCATAGCACCTTATTGGCCCCGACAGACATGGTTTCCCTACCTTTATCACATGTCGGCCTGCCCCCTGATTCCACTTCCCAGGTGTCACTATCTGCTCTCGCAGAATCATCGTTCCTTGCTTCACCCTCGACCATCTGGCGCTCACGGCATGGTTTCTCCATGGTTCCAGCAAGCAGAACTAGTATGTTCAAGTCCAGTTAAGAATGTCCTTTTACACAGTAGGAAGAAATCTACACATATTGCCTACCTGCACAAATGGAAGCGTTTTTCCTCATGGTGTGTGAAATACAGGAGACAGTCCGGCCTCAGCGCCTATCCATCTAATCTTAGATTATCTCATGCACCTCAAGGATTCCGGTTTTACCTTGGCATCTATCAGAGTCCACGTGGCAGCAATCACCGCCTTCCACCATCCTGTGCAGGAGTATTCAGTCTTTTCACATCCTATGACAAAGAGATTTATGAAAGGTCTCACTAACCTTTTTCCCCATCACACCAGACCAGCAGATCCTTGGGACCTGGAGCTGGTACTCAATACTTTGACAACTTCGTCTTTCGAACCCCTGGCAACGTGCAACCTTCATACTCTGTCCATGAAAGTCATCTTCTTATTGGCCATAGTTCTCCCTGTTTTTCACCCTAAGCCTCGTTGTTCAACAGAGCAAGCACATCTTCACACTTCTTATATACAAAGAACTAAGCCACTGCGAAGATCGAGAGCACTTTTAGTTTCGATGGTGGAGCACTCTAAAGGCTGTCTTCTATCTGCACAACGCATTTCCTCAATCATAGTTGAATGCATAAGAAAATGTTATATTCTTCGAAGGAAACCATTTCCAACAACAACTAGGGCTCACTCGACCCAAGTGGTTGCTGCCTCTACTGCATCTTGAAAGGTGTATCCTTGAAGGACATTTGCAGGACTGCCACACGCTCATCCGATTTTACTTTTGCCAAGCATTATGCAATGCCTAACCTGCTTATAGCAGACACCGCTGTAGCATCAGCGGTACTCTCCACAGCTGCACCTCATTAGCTCCGAACCCTCCACCATTCCAAGGAGCTATTGCTGTGCATTCATCTACAGTGGAGCACCCACGGGACACCGCTCGAAGAAGAAAAAGTTACTCACCCTGTGAAGTAACGATGGTTCTTCGAGATGCGTGTCCCGTGAGTGCTCCACGACCTGCCCTCCTCCCCTCTTCGGAGTAACTTATTGTATTTTTCAGAACAAGAGGATCAGGAGGAACTGGCGGGCGCCGGACTGCGCGCACAAGAAAGGCGCGAAAAGACGCGACCCACACGAGTGCATGCGCGGTCTGGCGGACTACGGCTAAAAAGATCTCAAAACTGTGGCGCCGGGACAAGCCCGACACCTATAGTGGAGCACCCACAGGACACGCATCTCGAAGAACCATCGTTACTTCACAGGGTGAGTAACTTCTTCTTTTCATTTCCATTAGGGGTTTCTAGCAGCATCATGAACACAAAAAGAGGTTTCAGGTAGCTTTGTCATTGAGTCAGACTGTGGAATTATATAATTAATTCACAGACTTTAGGGACAGAATAGACCACCATAATCATCTAGTCTAACCTACAGCACACTGCAGACCACAGAACCTCACCCACATACTCCTGTAATAGACCCATAACCTCTGGCTGAGTTACTGATAGGGTTGCCAGATGGTTGAAACAAAAATACCGTACCCCCCCTCAAAAAAAAAAAACATTGGAAAAAATTCTGTTGAAGGGGAAAAAGGGGGGGAACCAAAGTTGTTGAGCAACAACAACAAGAAAAAGGACTTCAAGGACTTATTAAGCCCCAAAAAATTTAAAATAAAACATGTCCCCTGCGGTTGAGCACTAAGGGGAGCTGTTGAGCACTAAGACCAGTTTTTTGGCCGGCAGCCATTTTGTGGTGGCAGCCTTGGGGAAACAAGTAAGCCTGGGGGC